ATTTTCAAATCTTAATCACAATATAAATCTAGTCAAACTTCATTTAAAATAATTTTTTTTTAGACTTTTGAGTAGCTTTAGGATTTAAAAGATTTAGAAAAACATCATTCTTTAAGGATGAGAGATGCCAGTCAGTCATATAATAATAATAATTATAACAAGAGGTGTTATATAGCGCGGTACCCCAGCCTAGGGCTGGGCTAACCACGCTGTACATACAATTTTTATCAAAAGAGACATAATCATGACATTAAAATAAAATAGATTTATGAAATAAAGAACAGAAATGTATATTCACCGACCCTACCACATAAATTTTACAAGGCAAACCATGGACGGCAGCCAGCAAGATCGTTTATCGGTCAGAGGAGGGGAATCAGTCGGGGTAGTATAATTTAAAAAAAATATGTTTTGAGTGCACTTTTGAAGGCCTGTGTGGTTAGTATATTGTGTATGTGTAGTGGCAAAGAATTCCATTGGTTGGATGCGCAGAAAGAGAAAGATCGTTCACCATATGTTTTAGTGTGTGTCTTGGCAACGGACAGAATACACGTGTCTGCAGAGGAGCGAAGCTGTCGAAGGGGTGAACAGACAGAAAGATGTTCGGTTAGATCTGCCGAATCAGCCAACTTAAAAAGAAAAGGAATGAAATGTCGCGAAGATTAAGAAAGAGTTTAACCTACCTAACTTTCTATAGGATCCACTGAAGCGTTTTCTTTGGATAGACATATCTGTCTTGAAAGCAATATGCATAGAATTCGTTGAAGAGATTATAATCTTTGTGCTGTGATCATTACTGTTACAAAATGTAGCAAGGGGTGCATTCATTGGATTTTTTCCGTTGTAGATCTTAATATAGTCGTAAGAGCAGTTATCAATGTTTTCAATGTCCATGTCCAAGATGCTGAAAGGAAGTAAGCGTTTAATTATTTTAAACGAAAACTGTACATGTACCTAAATTTGGCTCAGTAAATATTGAAATTGGTCAAAGAAAAACGTATTGTCAATTCTTGTTGCAGAATATTTCCCTAATGCCCAATACTTGCATATCTTGCAATGTAAGAATGAGTCATAGAACCACGTAAAAGCTAATCAGCCGCACTAAATGGGACCAGAAGTACTTTACTCCAAATTTATTTTTGTGGAAATGTTTACAATTTTAACGTTTGCAATAAGAAATCTCCTATGACCAATCTTCTCTCTAAGGTTTGATGGTTCGTCTTCAATATCGTACAGTTGTGTGCAAAGTTCTACAGTATCAAATTTGTGTGTGTGCAAAGTTCTACAGTATCAAATTTTTGTGTATTCAAAGTTTTACAGCATCAAATTTTTTTTCTAATGATTCACAATTTAAACAATTATTTCAAATCGTTATGAAAAAAAAAGGACCAAAACCACACACATTCGGTCTGCAGAAACCAAGTTTATGTGTAAATTGAATGAAAATACTGGATTAGGAGAGCTTAAATTAGTTAATCACGTTGGTATTATCCAGTGAATTAAATTATCGACTTACTTGTTAATGGTATCATAATATCATAAACAAAAATGATCAATCAAGAAATATACATAAAAAAGGCATGTCCCCCCCCCCCCAAACACACCACCACTCCTCACCGCCAACGTCCTTCTTTTTTTTTCTTTTGTACATTTTAATCGTACCTGTATATAAATAATAATTTATATATTTTGAAGTTAAATGCAAAAAAAAAAAAAAAAAAAAAAAAA